CATACCGACTGTGGTGGTACCTGCTATCACTACAGTAGTACATACTGACTCTATAGCAGTATTTATCGACTCTATAGCACAAGAGGACGCCAAAAAGCCTTTTTGCATCCTTTGGTCTAACACCGTTTGAGACGAGGCTCAAACGAAAGCTGTCTCTGGTGTGGACCAATCAGTTTCAAGGACAATGCATATATTATCAGAGTATGTTTTTGTTTGCATTCTGACCACAAGTATGGTGGTTAATGCAGTAACATGATTCCTTGTAAAAGGTTTCAGTTTGGTGTTTAACATCTTAACACAGCTGTTTTGTTGCCAGAAAAAATGGGAAAACCTATTCTCATATTTTGGTACTGGCAAAGGAAGTCACATGACTAAAAACTATGTTGTATTTTGCCAGGCAAGTACTGCTGAAGCTCTATAGCTCTTTTTCAGAAGCGACTTGGCCACAAATGAAATCCCAACGAAGTGGCTTATCATGTGGAACTGTATAGCGGCCAAATACTCGAAGCACATGTTGTTGATTCTAAACGTTGTGGGAAAAACCTGAAGGACCCGGAGAAAAATCCACCCGACCACGGGGAGAGCGACACACAAACTCCAAATATATAGGCATCAGGGTCAAACCCACGACCTCCTGCATACCAGGCGAGGTAGTTAACATCTCGCCACTGTGACGCCACAATGATACATATTGCTGGCTGTAGCTATGTACCAGCGAAACGTCGTGCCCAAATGTTAAATGGGTGTCTGCCCCACGGCAATGAGTCCGTTCGTTACTGATTTTTTTGACATAGTTTACGTGGAATATCAGAGTGCTGATGACTACCCGAAATGTCGAAACCGGTTCAGAGTTTGCCTGCTTAAACAAATTCTGCCGCTTGATAATAATGGGCTGCCTAAGCCAAGCTGCTGGCGCACTTAAAATATCTTAAAACACACACAAAGCACGCGGTATTTAGACGCGTAGACAGAAAGTGGACTTGGCTTTTCTCTACCAATCAGTGTGATTACGTAACGTAACACTGATCACGTGCTCCATGGTAGGGCAGCGTGTTTATGAACGATGCAGTAACAGAGGCCTCCGATTTGCACGGTTGGCAACGCGAACGAAGTTCAACGTAGAGTGCCACACAACATGGGCGAAACATTCAACATTCGGATACCGACTCGTACTGAACGGCGGCGGATCTCGCTGTTGCGCTGTACAGCTCTACCGATGTGTTCACGGTCCTGTATCGCATGCGTTGTTCGGCACGATGCCTGACGTTTCGCGTCCACGTGCTGCTGCTGCTCATGACGAGGAGCTTCTTTAGCGCGTGTTGTTCAACGCTACGCAACGGAAACCGTGAATGAATCCGTGGCCCACAGTGCTCACAGCTTTATCCACCACTACCACCTCCAGCAGCAGTAGCTGCAGACGCAAGATCAGGTCGTGGGAGGGGTGGGCGGCTTCGTGTGCTTGTTGTTCCACGTCGCTATGACTCCCGCCCCGAGTGTTTGGCTGCTGATGCTGCTATGAGGCAGCCTGTGTAGTCGTATAGCTCGCCTGCAGCGGCATGCTCCCTGGCTTGGTAACAACGCCACGAGGCTTACTCGGTTGAAACGCGATCCGGTGTAGAGAGATCGTAAGCCGACTGCAAATCCTGTAGGCCATCTCGATATGCACGCGTTGCTAAAAGTGAATGGCGTGTCCCACGCAATTGCGTGCATTAATGCGAACAAAATGATGCACGTGACGCACATAATACAGTGTGCGCTCTCAATGTGTGTTTTTGTGATGTTAGGTATTTGTACAATTAATATGCTCAACTTATTTCGCACCGTACGGAGACAACCGTGCTAATCGGACAACTAACGAAACACAAAAATCTGTCCTAAAGACATGAAAAGCAGTTCTTGCAAACGATAGAGGAGCGAGACTATTGGATTGCATGGTGATAGCTGTGTGATCGATAGTGTTATCATTTTCCGCTACAGGTTAGTTATACACGTCTGTTATAACAACAATGTGGTGTTAGTATATTGTTCATCGTAATAAATCATCAACCAACCGACTGCATAAAGAAACGTGTATTTCCGATTTACGGAGTTTCGTGGCATTTTATGCGAGGGTCTAGCAATGAGATATTTGTCCAAGGATGAACGATTCTGTATTGATTACATTATCAGTAAAAAAATACCTATAAATCGGTGGACCAAGTAATTTTCCTACTGTGGAGTGTGCCGTAAAGTCCGATACAAAGTGTGCAACATGAATCCTACTTCTATTTTTCATTTGACCAGGTAAGGCCCCACTGAGCTCTGTAGTTATTTTTTGCAGACGAGACCTGGCCATCACAAATGATAGCCCAACGAGAAGTGGCTTCGCACGTGGACATCTTTCAGCAGCCAAACATGCGAACACACGATATAATTTAAATATATGAAGGATAGACTACATATGTGTAGATATATGCAGGTATGTGTGCACTGTGGTTGATAGCATTCACTTGTATGTGTAAATGCGCTACATAGATCCCTGTAGGCATTACGCATAGAGCACGCTATATCACCGTCAGCCGTGGTCAATCCACTGCTGGATGAAGGCCTCCCCAAGCCACCGCCACCTTTCACGATCCTTCTGTACAATAATTCACCTGGCGCCTTGCGACATGAACTGGTGTCACCGCTCCATATCCTCGGTGGACATCCCCTTGGGTCGCGTTTCATTCCTTGGCTTGCACTCCGTTGTTTATTCTGGACTATCAGCCATCGTCAACTCCACCTTGCGACGGTGTCCGGCCCAAGTCCCCGACTTACTTTTCTTCCGTGGCCGTCTGGAACGCTCCTCCTTCCGATATTAGGAAGCCGCTGGAGCTCAGCACTTTTGAAACATCTAGATTTAAAACTAATTTCTTCCTAACTAATTTTTGTCTTTAGTTTGTTGTCCATCCTCCCACACCTCCGATTAGCACGGTTGGCTATGTACGACGCGGATGCAGTTCAACATACACACTTACTTACCGGTTTGAATGATGCATCATTAACCGGTGTATGCTCTCCAATCTTCGTGTTCCTTTTTCTGTCTCCCATGTTATTCCAACTTCCAAGGCTTGCGTCCCTATACGCTTCTTCATGCACTTTCAGTTTTAATTCTACAGGATATTCTTCGTGAATGCCCACGTTGCAAAAATATTTACGCCACAAATGTACGAATACATATTATTTATACGTATATTGATGAATTGTGAAACTGTGATGTTGAAGCTCTGATGATAGTTGTCTGTAGATGTGCCATGTGTATTCTAAAACCAAATATGTGCGACATGTGAATACAATATAACGCATCCAAAGCGGATTACAATCTCGTGTACGTAGGCTATGGAAGCTGAGTACCCATGGTGAAAGGCCGTAATTACCCCCCCCCCCCCCCGTATTCAAATATGCTCAAAATTTCCCCCCCCCCAATATATTGCTATGTATATATACGTACATATACAAAATTGCTATGCTATGAAAATAAAAACAACAATTTGCGAAACCTTGGCCACAATATCTGTACTTGTCTTCATATAAATCAATGCACAGCTTTCTGTTTATATGATTGTGGTTATGGTTGTACTTTATTAATCCCTAATCTCTGCCATTACATACAATGAAACAAGAAATCGTCAAAAAAAGTAAAAACAGAGCAATGTAATACAATGCACTATTAGACATTATTGTAAAAAAAAAAGTTCACCCCATGTGTTAGTGAATTTTTAAAAATATTTTTGGCAGCAAATTGAGTTTTCAAAATTAGATATTTTTCTGGGTTGGGACCCCCAGACAGCCCGGAAGATTTGGTCCCGCCCAATGTTGACTTCATGGCTACGGCTTTGCCATGGTGTAATGGTTAGCACACTAGTCTTACAATACGGGCTCCACTGTGACGAGAGGTTAACCACCTTGCCTGCTATACAGGAGGTCGTGGGTTCGATTCTGACCTCGACGCATGTATTTTTGGAATTTTTGCCTGTTCTCTACGAAGTCACGTGGATTTTTCTCCGGGTCCTCCCCCTTTTTCACTCCACATTTAGAAACGCGCGTTAAGAGTACTTTGCCGCTATGCATTTCCACGTGAAAAGCCACTTCGTTGAGCTACCGTTTGTGGCCAGGTCGCTACTGAAAAAGAGCGATATAGCTCAGTGGGGCCTTACCTGGTAAAATAAAATATTGTTTAGTTTACTGTACTTTGTAGAGGTTGGCGGTTTTGAATTCCATATCCCGGCACGGCAGTTATGAAATAGTGGAAACCTTTGTTACCTTCCCCAACCACCATCTCTGTCCACCCCGCAATATTAATTGGGTGGCAATTCCCACTGCTTCCAAGACGTCCGGCCAACATGGAAGAATAGGCTAAACTAGCTGGACCCTATTGTATGCAATGTTGAACTTCTTTCGCACCATACGTAGCCAAACCTCAGAGACAGATCTACCAGCAGTGGTATGGACACGCAATCGCTGGTCTGTGCCTCTCCAATTTTAATTCGACATGCGTGAGAGGGAAGGACCCCTCTCGATTGTGACTTTGTATTTATGCTGGAGGTGGGGCTGGAAGGCGAGATATTTTTTTCAAAATTTGCCACCGTTTCTTTCCACGGCCGCGCCGAGAGATCCAAACGAACCGCCAAGTGACGAATTTTAAATTGCCTCGTTCATGCAAATTGCATCTCACAATCGATGAGGAATAAGCTGGAAGGCTGCCAGGCGGGTGAGCCCGCACCAACAATTGCTCTGTAATTCTCTACATATCACGATGTTTTCGGCCAACTCGTGCGGTGTTTATTGTACGCGTGGGGAAAAAGACACCAGAGAACCCAGAGAAAACACTACACGCACGCACGCGAACGGCCCCAACACCTTTCTCCCACGCAGAAGTGGCACAGGACGCCGCGAGTCCACAAGCCCTGTGCCGTACCCGCAACCCCTTGCCGGCACGCTAAACCCCCGTGGCGAAACCCGTGGCGACGTCCGCGCAGGTCCGTACGCGGCGCTGTGCCGCGGGGACGTGGGCGGGCCGTGCCTGCAGGGCGCCGCGTTCAAGCGCAAGCGCGCCTGGTCCCGGGCCGTCTTCTCAAGCCTGCAGCGCAAGGGACTCGAAAAGCGCTTCCAGGTGCAGAAGTACGTGACCAAGCCCGACCGCCGGCAGCTCGCGGCCATGCTGGGGCTCACGGACGCGCAGGTGAGGAGGGGGGTCGAGCGGGTCTCTCGCTCCGTGTGTGCATGTGTGGGTGTGCGGGCAGGGGACCGGGCGGAGCGCTGGGTGTCGAAAATGTTGGCACGGCAAGGGGGCCAACAGCTGGCGCATCTGCCGGTCGTCTCAGTCAGCCGACCCATGGCGCCTGGGTCTGTCCCGTAACGTCTTGTCAGCGAGCCTTTGACACTTCACGTGATAGCCTCAAAGTGCACCTATGCTGGCACAATCGCTGTGGTGACATCACCGCCACTTAGTAGTGAATGGCGGCTGATGTAGTATGCTAGTGTATTGGGGCGTGATAGAGGTGAGTGGTCCACGCGCTGCGCTGTGAACCCAGGGGACCCAAGTTCCATTCCCGCTCACTTTCAACATCAGTGGCGAATATCTGAACGGGTCCTGGGCATCCCCGAAGTCGGCTCAGTCTCAATTGAGTATCTGATGCAATGTGTAGACCTCTGCAATGGGGAGCTAAAGGTAGCCGAGTGTGGTACTTGCTACACCACTCTCATGTGCTCGCGAACGTCACTTGACCCAACAGTCTGTGCAGGCTATACAACAGGGGATTTGTGTACGTGTGTGGTTGGGAGCTGTGGCACAGTGGTTAGCGTACTGCATTGCAAACCCGGCAGGGCTGGGTTTGATGCCTGTCCGCAGCTAACATGAGTGGCACAAATATCCTGGATATTCTCTATGTATACTTAGCCTCAAATGAGTACCGGGTTAAGTGTGTGAACATCAGCGATAGAGAAGTAAAGTGAGTCAGATATGGTGTGGCCAGTAGCCAATCGTGTACCTTAATAGGTGCTCGCTAACATCACTTGCTCCAATGATATTTAGGCTACACGGGGGGTCGTTGTGTGTGTAAGAGATATACATTGTATACTCTCAGTGTGTATCTCGTAGTGTTGATTTTCAGGTCACTGACATTAATCACAGGGTAGCTCATTAACACCGCCACTTATTCGAATGCATTTCAGCCAAGTCTGAAGGCTCATTTGTCAAGAAGGGTGCTGGCACAGGGATATTTGGCCAATTTTAATTTTCAAATTTTTCAAATGATGATGAATTTTATTGCTTGATTAATTTCAATTGATTATTTTTTTTATTTTGAAATTAAAACATTCCTTCAAATAAAAGTAGTACAATGACTCCATTCGCATAAATGAAAAAAGGTGACCGCATCCTAGGAAGGCAAGTGCAATTTAATTATCGTGGTCTTAAGGCGGACACTTTTTTTAAGGTGGCACAATGTTTCATGTTCATGACATAATTTTTTTTTTAACTTGCAAACATTTTACATTTGAGTAAACGGCAATTATTTGAGCAAACGGAACGCCAGGTCGCTTCCGAAAAAAGAGCTATGTAGACTGAGTGGGCCTTACCTGCTAAAATAAAACAATATATAGTTTAACTGGTTATTCCACAGTTAGTCGATCGGCAGGGGCGCGTACGATGGAGTGAAGCTTTGGTGCCCACGCCTCGTCCCAGAGGTCTGGCGAGCCTGGAGGAGAAGGCCAAACATCACTCACCAAGCAGCAGGGGCGTCCTGCCAGTAGTTGGTGGAGGGCAAGCAACTTTTTGGGGCTTCAGTTTTTACCACTGCTGGAATAGTCATTGCTCGCAAGGACCAGTGGTCGCTTCTGATAAAGAGCTATATAGCTCAGTGGGCGTTTCCTGGCAAAATAAAACAATACATATAGTTTTGTTTAAGTTTATCTGAACTCATCCTGTGCCCTCCTTTGCGTTGATGAAGCTGAGTGGTGCAATGTGAGTGTGTGTGTCTGTATGCATTGTATAAACATGCCCACTAGGAGACAAAGGCGGCCGGGCGTGGTGCTGGCCAGCCACCCCTTCTTGTGCCGTATCGACCTTCAGAGCTGCTCGCTAACAGCACTTTCCCAATGCAGTGCCTCATCAAAGGGCTATATATGCTTGGAGTAGGCGGGGCTAGAGATGTAATTTGCAAGTAAATGCAAGATCGCAGAGCTATAACCTTTGGTTGCAGTGGCTCTGCATTTGGCTCAAGCAGCTCTCCCGCTATATTTCTCTCAACGGTCCACCAGCTGTATTTGTTCCCCTGAGGACGATCGCTTGTGTTGCGATCGAAACGTCGTGGGTTTTTGTTTTGTTATGAATTCTTCTTTAATTATTTTCTACCTACATGACTTTACCGAAAGAACCAAAGAATATGAATTCCTGCAGGCACGAGGGCTTTAAGTCAAGCTTTAACGAGTAAGTTCAACATACATACATACTGTACTACTACCTCTTCCAGAGCGTGGAAGAGTAGACCAAATATTCTCTAGAGGAACTCTCTAGAGCTCCCTCGAGGCGAGGCCCTTCTGCTAGCAGTGGCATAAACAAGGCATTGCAGGGCTGATCCTTTGCTTTTTAAAACCACGCTCCCAATGAGGATGAGTTTAGCATTTAAATTCAATATATTTAGGTTATTTGACTTCCCAAAAATATGTTTTCACAAGGTCACGATAGCGCACAAGTCATATCACTGCCTCTTTAAGTGCTGATCTTAGCCATAAATGTGAAGGACTACATCACCGAATGTAATCAGAATATTTATTGATACTGGCGGAATCCGATGAGCTATAAAGCTCTTTTGCACAGATGTCCAGTGGGGTCGGTTCAGAACGTTACAACAACAAACAATACAAAAACACGATCGGAGTGGAAAGTATGGGAAAGGTAAACAAACCACTTGAAAAATATACGCAAAAAAACGAAACTAGTTTTATTTTTTTTATTTTTTACCTCACCAGGTAAGGCCCACTGAGATATTAGCTTCTTTTTCACAAGCGACCTGGCCACGAATGACAGCTCAACGAAGTGGCTTATCGTGCTCATTCCCAAGTGCTTTGATGCGACGTGTGTGCACGACGTTCGCGGTTTCACGGAGATTGCGAACATTATGAAATTGCTGAGTCATATTTATTTAACGAAGATTAAAAACGAAAACCCTCTCGCGTCCGAAATACGTGCAGAATAAGTGCCCCGTACTCAAACTTGATTTGGAACTTTCTTGACTGCAGGAATTACTCTTTGGTTGTAATAGGGGTTTTCCCTTTTTTTCTGGCAACAAAACTGAAACCTTTTTTTTACGAGGATTCATGTCTGCATTAACCACAATACCTGCAGTCAAAATGCAAACAAAAAACATACTATGATAATATATGCATTGTCCTTGAAACTGATTGGTCCACACCAAGGGACTCCTTTTGGCGTCATCTGGTCGAGCACCAATTGGTACGAGGCTCAAAAGAAAGCCGTCCCTTGGTGTGGACCAATCAGTTTCAAGGACAATGCCAATATATTATCATAGTATGTTTTTTGTTTGCATTTTGACTGCAGGTATTGTGGTAAATGCAGACATGAATCCTTGTAAAAAAAAGGTTTCAGTTTTGTTGCCAGAAAAAAAGGGGGAAAACCCTATTATTACATTTTGTTACTGGCAAAGGAGGTCTAATGATACTATTTGGTTCTTTCGGTAAAAGTCACGTAGAAAGAAAATAAAAATTAAATAATAGCAAACGACGTTTAGATTGCAACACAAGCGATCATCATCAGGTACAAATGAAAGAGAAAACAAACCTAGTGAATTTTTATTTAAAGCTTTCGTGACTGCAGTAATTCATATTCTTAGTTCTTTCGGTAAAGTCACGTTGAAGGGAAACAACAAAATAATAAAATATATATAAAACAATAAAAATTCTCACGACGTTTCGACCATAACACACCTGAAGACGACCGTTTGTGTTATGGTCGAAACGTCGTGAGAATTTTTATTGTTTTATATATATTTTATTATTTTGTTGTTTCCCTTCAACGTGACTTTACCGAAAGAACTAAGAATATAAACCTAGTGAACTTAGAAATATAATGCAATACAACACAGAGAGTCGTCTAACATAACAGTCAACACCCTACCTGGTTGTATTGCGTTATACCCCCTACTCGTTGGCTCTACCTCTATGAAGAGTGTCGTCTATGTTTTGTCTCGGTTAAACAAAATGCTCAATTTAAAAAAAAAGCGCTCTCATTGAAAACATCCAAAACACTGAAAATGAATTTTGGCAAATGTCTCAATGTAAGCCGCCTCCTCAAACACTCCTTGGGCCCCGGTGAGGGTTTCCTCGACGGTTCATATGGCGCCGAATTTATTTTACACCAATAAACATTTGGTTAACAAGGTTTTAAAACAGACGCACTCATTCCATTTGCAACTCTGCCTCTTTGCAGCAAAGGCTTGGATTGGTTTTGTACTCACGGCACGCAATGGCCCGTAGGTGAATCGGAAAATTATTTGGTGATGCTGCTGCGTTGGCGGAGGCGTGCAAGCATAATTAACAAAACGAAAACCCTCAAAACGTTTATAAATAACGATGTGGCTTTAAACGAAAAAAATACATATCAGGCGACGTTTCGGGCAATGGTACTTGTTCATAGCACATACCACTGTTCATGGGTGTTTAATACCAAGACCAATGAAACGCATTTCCCTTATCAGTTCTCTCTAAACGAACAGAGATGATCACCGCATTGCACGCTTTCAGATGCGCTTCTGCGGGCCGTCTGGAACGCTCTTCTCCCCGATATTAGGAATCCACTGGAGCTACGCACTTATTTCTTGAGAACTGCTTTGTGTTTTCAGTTTATTGTCCTTCCCCCAGCACATCCGATTAGCACGGTTGACTACGTACAGTGCGAAAGAGGTTCAAAGCACATACATATATACACAACCGAGAAGCTGGCTGAGGTGTAACTGTAAAACTTCATGGCATTCTTCATATCATATAATTTGCGATGAAGGAGTTTTACCCGAAACGTCGCCTATCATTCATAGTTTAAGGCAGTGTTATTTTGCAAATGCATCTTTTTTTTACAGCTGATTGATGAACGTGATTTCGTAAAATGGTGCAAAGTGCATACCCGAAGAACGAAGCTACCTCGTGCAGATTTGGAAACCCATAAGTGAGAGAAGGGTACACCGACGTCTGGATGTCACCTCCCCGGGAATGCGAAACCGAGCCGATATCTCCTTTGCTCGTGTAGAGAACGGAAGAGGGAACCGACGGACAACACCACCAATAGCAGTCCCCCATGAAGCGGCATGCAGCCCGATCAGAGACTGTGTTGACCAGCGTGGAAGGCTCCTGTTTCCGCCCCGCCGCCAAAGCCCCACAGCATTCCGTTGGCAGGTCCAACATACAGATCTATTGTGCACACCGCTCGTCCACGCGAGAGCCCAAGCGGGCTGGCAGCAATGCCCCCTTGTTCGCCTGCGGTTTTAGCCCCTTCATAATTCACCGCCGCACTCTACGGCTAATTGAAGCCTATAGCTCAGAGCTCAATGAAACCCACAGTTTAAAGCCTCGAAAGTGATTTAAGTGCGTTTAAGAGCCGTAGCACACTCGTGTGTGTGTGTGTGTATTGAGTGCTGTCACGTACACTATAAAGCGTAATTTAACCGAACGGTACTTATTTCGGTTTGACATGTACCAGTAGGATTTCGCGACCAATACAGGGTGCTTCAAAAAAAACGTTAACACTTCGGAGAATTTGCAACAACACCACGATAAATTTGCCTTCGGGCTCTGGAGACCACCTGGAGAAGATTCCGGGCACGTGTTCACAACGATGGCGAACAAGTGGAGACTCTTGGACTTTTTGAAGCTATTAACATTACATTTGTTATCATGTTACAGTGCATTATCCATTCTTTTTCCATTAAAAACGATAGTCCCATATAAGGGTTGGGCAGGGCGGGGGGGGGAGATTAAATCGCGTAGATATAAATGTGTTGTGATACCGGTCCCCACCCGACATGGCCAATTAGTAAGGTTTGTCACGTGAACACAACGCGGACAATTAGTTAGCGGTTCAGCACACCGGTCAGTGTGTCGGAGAGGAACATTCACAATTCGAGTACAGTTATGTTTCGCCGGCAATTACACAACTAAATTGTACTTCTTTTAAAACCGTGTCTCAGTATAAGTACCGTTTTCTTCGTATTCTAAAAAAAGAACCACTCTGTAAAGTAATACTCACCCCATACCTGTGCCCGGTTGCCAATAATGTTAATGTGATGCAAATCTGATGACACACGCACACACACACACGGCTACCGGATTATCAGATGCACTTCTCCCAACTCTTTGCAACAACAACAATAACAACATGTGAAAAGTAAAAAAAAGTCCGTCTGATATTGCAGAGATTAACGGTGGATCTATTTTAGGAGGCACCATGCGTAACGACACAGTTGACGTCGAATAAGAGAAGGTAAATAATAATTCATTGATGTGGCCACGTTCTGAAACGCAATCCCAGTGTTGGCCTGCCAGAGCAAGGCACTGCTCGGCATTTATTTATGCCATGCAGGTGTACACTTACACGCACCGCACATGCGTGTACAACAGAATAAAGCATTTATATATAACAAGCGGTTGTTTCCCAATATGCGGAATGTAATGCTGGACAAGAGGTTTATGAATCAAGTTTACGTGAATTTATACCCCTTTGAAATAGTGCAATTAATAATCATTACAAAATGTGCTTACTCTGGGGATGAATATGCAGTAGGGCGTTATGTTTATGTGGCGCGTTTCTTTTTTTCCGGGGGGTCCTAATGGCGCTCGATGTCTGGGAAGGGATGTAAAAGTCTACTCCTCAAGTGAACGTAATGTGCACCGTAAATCCGTGGCACTTTTTTTGCAGGCAGGTGCCAGGAATTCCGAGCTGTTGAATTGACGGCAGCCACTTTCGGAGGCTCTACACGGAATCATGAAAATAAAATAAAACATGCACTAAAATGAAAAACGCAGTCAGGGGATACATTATTGAGTGGTGTGAGAGACCTGTGAGAACACAATAAAAATCGTACTATGTTAGGGCATAATTAAGGTAATATTGTACGAACTTTAATAGCAGAATATCAATGAGTAATTGCATGAATGAATGAACAATAAAAGTTGCCACTTCTCTCAAATGTATTCAACGTATTTACGATTGCCTGAGCAGGAATGGTCTATCTTTAGTTCGGAAAAAAATACTCTGCAATACAATTATTGAATATATAACACCATTTATATGTTAAGCAGCCAATATAACAATTCCCAATAAGATCGTTGGGTCGGGACTCTTAATAACACTGCAACATTTTTGTCTCGTTACCGTCCACCATCCGACATACCCAAACCACTTTTAAATCGTCGCGCGTGCAAGCGCTGAATGTGCAAATCGTCGTTGCTTCAGCTGGGCGGTCAGGTAAAGCAACGCGGCCAACCTCGACGCCGCTACATTTCTCTCCGCGCAGGTCAAGGTGTGGTTCCAGAACCGGCGCATGAAGTGGCGGCACTCCAAGGAGGCCGAGGCGCAGAAGGACAAGGAGAAGGAGAAGGAAGGCCCCGCCGAGAGTACGCAGGTGGCCGCCTCCGTCGAGGCGCCGTCCGCCGGGGCCACGGCCCACGGGGTCGGACGCGGCGATCGCGAAGACGGCGGCGATGACGGCAACAACAAGGACGGCGACAGCGACCTGAAAGAAGACACGGCCGACAGCGACAATGACTGCGATGGCCGAGATGACGGTGACAGCGAGGGCCTGAACTCGGATGACCACGAGCACGAGAGCAGTAGTAGCAGCAGCGGCGGCGGCGGCGGCGGCGGCGGCGAAGGCGGCGGCGAGACTCCGCAGGGCGCGGGTCACGAGCGCCCCGAGCCGCTCCTCGCGTGTCCAGCGAGAGCGGACGAGAGGGGCCACGCCAGAGTTTGAGGTCGCGACACGAATACGACGGCGTAGTCCGGGAGGCGGTGGGGGGGGCGGTCGGGGTGGGGGGGGGGGGGGTTCGTACACCGAGCTGAAGAAAGGGAAGTGCCGTATGGACTGCGGAGAGCAGGGCGATGTTGTGATATCGAGGAATGGCCTCTCGGTTTGGTGACACGACCACGGAGGTTTTTTTTCTCACCCCTCCCACCCCCCCCCCCCCCCCCCGCTGTTTTTACGTCTGCCTTACGAGAACCCAAAGACGGGAGTCCTCAACAGTTGCTTGCTATGTGTCTGTAATCACAAATATATATGTGCAAATGTAGCCCTCGGAACAGGGTCAAGTCGATTTAAGTGTAAAGCGAAATTAACACTTTTTTTTGTGTGTCTATTCGTTCGCGATCAAGGCGAGTGTGGCCACTTGTTTCACAATTACATTTAGCCGCCTGCTTTAATCTCGAGTGCAATTCAAAGGCGGGATCTGAGGAGTACTCAAAGCTCCTGTGTCTCTAACACTGACGTAGCGTGATGTCCCTCAGCAGGCCAGCCACTTTTAAACTAGCTTGTGAGCATTATCACCACCATCACCATCATCACTATCGCCATCATTGACAAGCCAACTGTGATGTCGAGGAGGTTTTTGCACGATCAAATCGACCGCCGTAACGTACAAGAGGCCTGTCTATTCTCACATTCGCATTAAGAATCAGAATTTGTTTTCCTACTGGAGGAATCTGATGAGCTATAAAGCTGTTTTTCATAGATGTCCAGTCGGGGCGGGAAAGAACGTGGCAACAACAATGCAAAAACATTATTAAAAAGGTACACAAATCACCCAAGCACATACAAATACAACCAAGCCATCCCCATCCTACCAGGAAAAGCCCACTGAGGTGTCATTTTTTCGGAAAGCGACCTGGCCATCACACAAATTAAACGTTTCTCGTGGTAATGTAAAAACAAAAAAATATCATCACATCGGCGTGTAAAATGAAAGAGAAACTGACCTTTATAGCTGCCACTCAACAAAAATACACGTTCGCATTATTCTCAGGGTCGCAACCTCCCGTGGCGTATCTCCAATGGCCCGTTAAACGGAAGCCGCCGTGAGTGTGAGGACGACGATGCCTCAATATTTTACCGGCCGGCTAAACGGAAGTTTGGAATGGATGCACCTGCGAGTGGAGTCACGCAGTAGAAGCGTCGACTCGTAAGAGAAGGAGAAGAGAGAAGGGGGGTGGGGGAGCAGCGAGCAACGTGTAAGTGTGAACCGAGGAGGATTTACATTCTCCACTGTTGAGTTTTACAACCAAAAACTGACAAACCGAGAAGAGGGAGTGATCCCAGCGAACTGACACGTCACTTTTTCCATACGCATATTAAGTGGTCACAAAAGACAAATTGAAAAATCCCCCGCATCATAACCTTCACGGACTGCTTGGGCAAGCGCTGTTAACCAGCGCCTATGAAGGCCAGAACGGTAAACGAGGGGGTGGGTGGCTAGCACCACGCCCGACCGCCTTTGTCTCTCCCTAGTGGCGATGTTTACACACCGCACTAAATACTCATTTGAGGCTGAGTCGACCCAGGGGAGGCCCGGGATCGGTTACGATAATAATCGCTGGTGTTGGCCGTGACCGGGAATCAAACCTGGGGAACCGTGTACGTAGCGCAGCGTGCTAACCGCTGCGCCACCGCTCCCCACCCTACCCTACTAACCTTTAATTGGCTTTTGATGATCGTAAACAAGCATACAGTGAGGGAAAAAAAGTATTTGATCCCCTGCTGATTTTGTACGTTTGCCCACTGACAAATAAATGATCAGTCTATAATTTTAATGGTAGGTTTATTTGAACAGTGAGAGACAGAATAACAACAGCAAAATCCAGAAAAACGCATGTCAAAAATGTTATAAATTGATTTGCATTTTAATGAGGGAAATACGTATTTGACCCTTCTGCAAAACATGACTTAGTACTTGGTGGCAAAACCCTTGTTGGCAATCACAGAGGTCAGACGTTTCTTGTAGTTGGCCACCAGGTTTGCACGCATCTCAGGAGGGATTTTGTCCCACTCCTCTTTGCAGATCTCCAAGTAATTAAGGTTTCGAGGCTGGCGTTTGGCAACTCGAACCTTCAGCTCCCTCCACAGATTTTCTATGAGATTAAGGTCTGGAGACTGGCTAGGCCATTCCAGGACCTTAATGTGCTTCTTCTTGAGCCACTCCTTTGTTACCTTGGCCGTGTGTTTTGGGTCATTGTCATGCTGTAATACCCATCCACGACCCATTTTCAATGCCCTGGCTGAGGGAAGGAGGTTCTCACCCAAGATTTGACGGTACATAGCCCCGTCCATCGTCCCTTTGATGCAGTGAAGTTGTCCTGTCCCCTTAGCAGAAAAAACTCCCAAAGCATAATGTTTCCACCTCCATGTTTGCCTGTGGGATGGTGTTCTTGGGGTCATAGGCAGCATTCCTCCTCCTCCAAACACGGCGAGTTGAGTTGATGTCAAAGAGTTCGATTTTGGTCTCATCTGACCACAACACTTTCACCCAGTTGTCCTCTGAACCATTCAGATGTTCATTGGCAAACTTCAAACGGGCATGTATATGTGCTTTCTTGAGCAGGGGGACCTTGCGGGCACTGCAGGATTGCAGTCCTTCACGGCTTAGTGTGTTACCAATTGTTTTATTGGTGACTAACGGTCCCAGCTGCCTTGAGATCATTGACAAGATCCTCCCGTGTAGTTCTGGGCTGATTCCTCACCGTTCTCATGATCATTGCAACTCCACGAGGTGAGATCTTGCATGGAGCCCCAGGCCGAAGGAGATTGACAGTTCTTTTGTGTTTCTTCCATTTGCGAATAATCGCACCAACTGTTATCACCTTCTCACCAAGCTGATTGTCAGTGGTCTTGTAGCCCATTCCAGCCTTGTGTAGGTCTACAACCTTGTCCCTGACATCTTTGGTCTTGGTCATGGTGGAGAGTTTGGAATCTGATCGATTGATTGCTTCTGTGGACAGGTGCCTTTTATACAGGTAACAAGCTGAGATTAGGAGCACTCCCTTTAAGAGTGTGCTCCTAATCTCAGCTCGTTACCTGTATAAAAGACACCTGGGAGCCAGAAATCTTTCTTATTGATAGGCGGTCAAATACTTATTTCCCTCATTAAAATGCAAATCAATATATAACATTTTTGACATGCGTTTTTCTGGATTTTTTTGTTGTTATTCTGTCTCTCACTGTTCAAATAAACCTACCATTAAAATTATAGACTGATCATTTCTTTGTCAGTGGGCAAACGTACAAAATCAAGCAGGGGATCAAATACTTATTTTTCCTCACTGTACGTTAGCGATATACATTCTTCATATTCTAGTCATCGTCCTTTATTTAACCAAGTGAGAACCCGTTCACATTCACTACACGTGTGCAAGCGAGCCCCGGGTAACTGCAGTTATGTGTGGCAATCATCGCGACCTTCCTTTCGTTTCGTTTTTTTTCTTGCGGTTGCGCGAAATTTCGCTTAAAATACCGAGACACAGCAAGGGGTGGCTGTTTCTTCGCGAACGATGTTGTCAACCGACGGCCTTTCATTTCATTCGCTGAATTTCCCACGGACATCGCCGCGGTTCCCTTTAGTATGGCGCCTTGAGACGTTGTGAAAGGTGACTAAATAAGTTAAAATTGTTGTTGTTGTCGTTGAAAACTACGCGTCGACGGTCGCCCCCGTCGGCCTGATTATTCCGTCACGACGTTCCTTGGGACGCGTGCGCTCCTCCCGAGAGATCCAAGCTGCATCCCGTGCATTGGGGCAGTTTTAACGTGGCGCGTTCCGACGACGTTCCCGTACAAGCCGTTACGCAACAAACAGAGGGACACGTGCTCGGTGTGTTGTAAAGACGTCAATGGGTAGCCTTAGACGCGATGAATTGTCGAGTGTATTTAAAGTCGTCAACATTCGCCCCCGTGAATGGCGCACGCAGACAAACATAAAGAGAGCTATTTATGAGAGGAAACGCTCGCGCCGCATGTGTTAAGAAGTTAATTCCTGCGTTTAGTGTTTTCACAGCCCCGTGCATGTGCAGATGTTGTGTGCGAGTGCATTTTTTTAATTATTATTTTGAGATGTTTTTTTTTCCTCCCCATTTTACAAAATGCACTAGTGTGTCACAATCATGTCAGTGTATTCGTATGTTCGTGCCTTAAGTCAATCTACAGCAAGCAACAACACTTTGAATATCTCTCTTGTTCCGTTATAGCTGGTGGACGAAATGCCAGGAGCGGAACTGTCAAAAAAATGTACGCGTGGAACAGCCCTCGTTTTCAACACGGGCTGCAACATTGGGGGGGAAATGCGTTTGTGGCAGCAACGTCGCTCACGGCTTTGGAACATGCAGGCACTGCTGCCCCTACGTTAGGTACATCGCTGCGATGGGTTGACATGAGGTCATGTGGGTTTGACAGCGCTGTCAAGGGCAGCACTGATGCTATGACAAAAAAAAAACAACCGAATATTGCGACTATCTTACTCGTGGAAATTGTATGCTGGGATGTAAATTTGTTTAATTTGATTGTATTGAGTTGGAAAACGCATCCTGAAATATTTTACATTTCGCGCCTTGTTTTTTTTGTTTAAACTTGCGTAATGCCTCAACTGCTGTATTTTCTTGTCAAATCGAAACAAACTATACTCATATAGCACAATTCGTGCATAAAATGCAATGCAAAGTGTTCTTGATTTGAAGCTTTCGTGACTGCAAGGATCCATACTCTTTGGTTCTATTCGGTAAAGTCACGTAGGTAAAAATAAAATAACAAAAAATCACGACGTTTCGGCCACAACAAAAGTGGCCTTCATCAGGTGAAGGGACTGGACTGTCCAGGTGAAGGGACTGTCCCTTCACCTGATGAAGGCCACTTGTGTTGTGGCCGAAACGTCGTGATTTTTTGTTATTTTATTTTTACCTACGTGACTTTACCGAATAGAACCAAAGAGTATCAATACAAAGTGCTTTACAAGGCAAATTTAAAGCGACTGACACAATTGAAACAACAATACGATTGATACGTAAAAAAGACGTAACATTGTAATGAACTAAAAGTATAATGAGAAGCTTAATAAGCACACAGTCGTGGCATCCTAAATAAAAGCCAATTTAAAAAAAAAGGTATGTTATAAGATGTCG